GGAGTGGCTAAGGGAACTAGGGTTGTTTAGCCTGGAGAAGAGAAGGCTGAGGGGAGACCTCATCACCACCTACAACTACCTAAAGGGAGGTTGTAGAGAGGTGGGTGCTGGTCTCTTCTCCCAGGTGATGGAGGATGGAACAAGGGGAAATGGCACCAAGCTGTGCCAAGGGAGGTTCAGGTTAGAGATAAGGAGGACGTTCTTTACTGAGATGGTTGTCAGAAGCTGGAACAGGCTGCCCAGGGAGGTGGTGGAGTCACCATCCCTGGATGTATTTAAAAAGCGGGTAGATGAGGTACTTAAGGATATGGTTTAGGGGGTAGACAGGAATGGTTGGACATGATGATCTCAGAGGTCTTTTCCAACCGAGCGATTCTGTGTGTGCGAACCACTGTTTTGGCCCATTCTCTGGGTACTTCTAATTCAATTTAACATGTGAAGAGTTAACTTGATACCCAAGAGGACTTGGTGCTTTTTACATGTTAGACTAAATTAATCTGAGAAATCCTTCTCATACATACCCTTCTGTGCAGACAATAGCCAGTTTCTAAATTATTCATTACTGTGCCAAGCACATAGTTTAATAACAGAAATCTGAAACACAAAATGTAGTATCATATTCTAAAAGCAAAAGATGCTTGTCTCTTGTGAATTACTATGCAGACTTCCAAGTACTGTGGATTTGAATGGTTTTCCCAAAAACACTCTTGTTGGACATGGTATATTTGAATATGAATCTTTTGGCAGATGACTCCCATCCAGTCTTACAGAGTATCTAGGGAGATACCCATATTTCTTTGCTCTTAATTTTAATACTCACAAGCTAGTAGAAAGAGGCCATTAACACAGGGTTAAACATACTGTATTCAAAGTACATCCAGAGTAGCTTCTACTCAAAAAGGAAAAATAAGTGAGCAACATCTGTTGCCCTCAAAATGAAGCAAAAAGTCACTTCAACCTTCCCAACTTCAGCTCTTGACCAGAGTAGGGGGAACAGAAGGCCAAACGTTGCTCATTGTGTCATAAAATAATCTGATTCTTTTATTTTCTTACCATGGTTGTTTCTTCTTCCTTCCTTTCTTGATTGGTATCAGCAGCTTTGGTTATTGCTGCTGTGTAGGCAGCCTGGTGCAAGATGTCAGGGCACCCACACCTCTTTGGCAGGCACCCTGCAACATCACAGTATATGCAGGAGAGGTCATAATCTCTCCCAGGACACCATCCCATTTCACCCACTCACGTGTTACACCAGCAGCTTCCTTCCTAGCCACGTACAGGACCCAACCTCTAAAGACTCTTCTTAAGCAAGTCTTCCCAGTTAATCATAGAATCAGAAAATGGTTTGGGTTGGAAGGGACCTTAAAGATCATCTGGTCCAACCCCCCTGCCATGGGCAGGGACACCTCCCACCAGACCAGGCTGCTCAAAACCCTGTCCAGCCTGGGCCTTGAACACTTCCAGGAAGGGGGCATCCACAGCTTCCCTGGGCAATCTGTGCCAGTGCGTCACCACTCTCACAGTAAAGAATTTCTTTCTAGTATCTAGTCTGTATCTACCCTCTTCCAGTTTAAAGCCATTACCCCTCATCCTGTTGCTACCTGCCCTCCCCAGCTTTCCTGTAGGACCCCTCCAGGTACTGGAAGGCCGCAATAACATCTCCCTGGAGCCTGCTCTTCTCTATGCCGAACAACCCCAACTCTCTCAGCCGGTCCTTGTAGCAGAGGTGCTCCAGCCTTCTGATCATTTTTGTGGCCCTCCTCTGGACCCACTCCAACAGCTCAATGTACTTTCTGTGTTGGGGGCTCCAGAACTGGATGCAGTACTCCAGGTGGGGTCTCATGAGAGCAGAGTAGAGGGGCAGAATCATATCCCTTAACCTGCTGGCCACACTTCTCCAAGCTAAGCCTTTAAAAAACAACAACAACAACAACTGGTATTAGTAACCAGGATTTTAATGCACATGAAGTACCTTTGCAAACAACTCGTTTCCTTTCTTAAAACTCTTTAAGAACCGGTGAATATGCTACTCATAACTGATTTGAAAGATTATGAACCATTTCAGAGTTTGTTCATTTATGCTTTCAAAACGGTGTAATAATTGTTAAATGGTGTCTTTCCGACAAAGTCAACTGTAGAGTCTGGCTATGTCTTTTCCCTCCATGATACAATGAGAGCGCAAAGAAAACCACAGCTAAAGATAAACACCAGGTACTTTATTCTTGGTGGTAACTGGTTTTTGCCATCCCAAGGTGCACAGAGACACTTACATATTTAAAAAAATAAAAGGCTGGATCTTTCAGAAAGTAATTACCACTCTCTAAACTCCTATGAAAATGCAGACTTACACTGACTGTACCAACATTTGTCAGTTGATTAGATATCGATGGATTCACACTCACAGTCCTCTACTTAATCCAAATATGCCCATACAATGAGGACATGCAGTGAAACATTTCTGGAAATTGTCTGAAAACTGTAGAGTATCAACATATTAAATGCCAAAGTTTTCATATAATCACAGCACAAATGAGCAACTCTACAAAGAGGTAAATCAGCAGTCACTTTATTGTGAAAATTAAATATTGCACTTTAGTACTAATTGCAAAAAAACCCCTGACAGCTCATTTCTGCCTTCTTGCCCTCTCATGATGAACTAAATAAAATAGAAATGCAAAATCAGTAGTACTCAAAAAAAGGGAAAGTTACCTACACTTGAAATCAAGTTGAAGTCCTGGTAAATGAGCGGCTATGACATTTAACAGCATTCTAAACATAATGCAGTCCCAACTCCCAAAATGCAGCTCTGCCATCTAACTAAAAATGTTAACAGAAAACTGGAACAAAAAATGGTTGTTACGTAAACAGTCAATTTGGTGAGAATTTGGCCTGACTTCAGTGTGAAGTTTGCTATTTCACAAACTGTGTTACAAAGTATTTCAAGTGAGGCCTTGCAAAGCAGGGGGCCACTAGGTACAACCTAATCATTTCTTGCAAGAGCTCCAGTCCAGACTGAGCTTTTGTGGTTTATTCTACCTGGTTTCCCATCAACTGCTGGTTGCAGAGTAGTAACTACATATACAGTTGGATTACAAAAACCATCTGGCAGCATGAAGTGCAGCTCTTCCCTATGTGCGCAGAGCATATAAGGAATAACTTTTTAATGTGGTGAAGCATTATGAGCTACTTATCCTGGTGTGAAATCCTAGCAGAGACAACTTTGGTGAGGGACATGGGATTATTTTAGTCTTTACTCTGAGATGATGAGACAAGGTCATTACTGTATTCATGAACAACCTGCCCCCATTTATCTGACACTAATGCTGGAGTATTCCTCTATTGGGATAATCCAAGAAGAAACAGACACAGAACTATTTTTAGCAGAGAAGATGCAGACTGTCTTCAAAGCGTCCCAGTAGACAGAAAAGCTGCAGATCACACACAGTTTGAAGGTACCAACAGGCTGCTATCCATGGGAAGAAAACAGAAATAGCCACCACATCAGTGTATGGCTACTGCTGGGGACAAAGGAAAGCCTGAAGAGGACTGCTGTCCTAAGACACCACACTAGGATCTATGCTGGCTACTTTTAACAGGTTTGGTGTGCTGGATAGAATTTTCCCACCAAAAAGGCTGCTTTGTTCAACATTCTGTAGTTTGCTGATGTCAGTCAGTCTGAATCCTTCTGGCACAGATGCTGAGCTACTTGCTTGCCACAATGGCTCCTTGCCTTTAACTTGTCCTCTCCAGCACACAACAGTTGGTGCCAGTGAAAGCAGTATTTAAGTAGGTCTGGACTCTCTCCTTTGGAACTTACCCTTTGTCAGTTGACGATAGGTGGATGGATGGAGAAGAAATTAATGTTCTACCCCAAAGCCCCAACTTCTGACCCAAGTGGCCAAAAATTGAGTCGGTCTGGTGACAGATCTTCTGCAAAGACAGTAATTTTCTTGCCACAGATCTGGAGAAGGTTTTGGGATCTCAGAGACTATCTCTTTCTACCTATTAAAAGCCTTTTGCTCTGAATGATAGAGCATTGCTAAATGGCTCCCACGAAACCCAGGACTTGAGATACTGGGGGCAAGGGGGCAATTCTAGACATACAGAGACTGTTTGACATGTACATAAACAAAGCAAGAGGTAGGAAAAGAGTAAAATAATGCAACAACCTCAGTTGTTCAACTAGACAATAATACAGAACATAGTTTAAATAAAATAAATCTATTTCCTTACCACCACCATGCACTCCTAAGAATTACTATGCATTAGGCAAGCACAAAAATTACAAAGTGCTGTAATTCGCATTTAAGAAGAGTAGATGCAGCACAATAGTCTTCGTGCCCCACCACCTAGGCTTTCTGGCTTAAATACGACTAAAATCAAAAGCGCCTGTATAAGGAGGCATCAGTCATGAGAGAAAACATGGCTTTCAAAACACAATAGGCTTCACTTTCTTCAGTGTTTTCCTTCCACATGCTTGTCCTAAATCTCATGTTGCAGGAACTGGGCTTTCCAGGTGTCTTCAGGCAAAACAGAATATTCCTCTAATCATTGGTGCTCCGTTGCCTTTTAGAGTCATGCCTCCAGGAATGCTATTTCACTTGCTCAGAGAACTGCACAGCATTTGCAAGGATGAAGCCGTCTCCCATAGCTCCTAACTGGCTACACAACCCTCCCTCAAGAGCTACATTGGAAGCGAAGTGTTTGAAAAAGAGGATTCTTATTCAGTTGTAGATGACAGAAGGAGTGGCTTTAGCCTGGTGTTGAACAGATTGGTGCTATAAAGCCAAGCAAAACATCAGGAATACTTGGTGTGGTTTTAAATTCATTCACCACCATTCCCAGTCTGAAGAAAAAAAGGTATCAACACACAGGAGTTCACAAGTGGTCATCTCAATTAGGACACTGATTTCACCAGTCCTTGATGAGCAAGAGTAACAGCCTCAAGACAAGCTGACAGTTTTGTAGTAGCAGAGAAAAATGCATTCTGTGATGGAAGACACTTAGTCTTGAATTGGAGGCCTATGGATTGGAGATAATACAGCTGCCCAAGCCTGTCGGAAGAATTTGTAAATGAATGGCAGTGATGTGGGAGAAGCTGCAGAACAAAACAAAAAGCCAAAGAGCCTTTATTATAAATGGTAAAAATAATGCACACTGAACATATTAAGAAAGAACTAATCCCAACTAGAGTTAATTGAAACCTAGTTATTTTGTTTTCTTCTGTTCGGTTCAGTCCTTGGGCCTTCATTCAGGGCACTGCTCGCATCCCCAGCAAGCCACCTTCAGTATTTTCCAATGGACTATTTGCAGAATAGCTATGGAGCACCTGCCACCCATCCCTTCCACGCCCCAGCTGCCACCTCTACGTCACGGGACCAGCTCATTCTTTGAGGACAGCAGCAGTCATCCCTAGCGAGACTCCAGCACAGAATCATAGAACGTGATGGGCTGGAAGGGACCTTTAAAGATCATCCAGTCCAACCCCACTGCAGTGAGCAGGGACAATGTTACCAAATCAGGTTGCTCAGAGCCCCATCAAGCCTGACCTCGAATATCTCCAGGGATGGGGCCTCTACCACCTCTCTGGGCAACCTGTTCCAGTGATCTACCACCCTCATATTGAAGAACTTTTTCCTAATATCCAACCTAAATCTTCCATTTCTAGTTTAAAACCATTACCCCTTGCCCTATCGCTACATGACCTTGTAAACAGTTCCTTCCCATGTGCATAAGCAGATCAAATGCATTACTACATTGCTGCCCTGGGCAACTCTCCACTGTCCTGGCCAGACAGTCCTAGAAGGCAACCACTCTTCCAAGAGACATCCACCTTGTAGGATGTACTGGGTTTTTCTGTGAGGGGGTTTTTGGTTGTGTCTTTGGTAAAGGGGGAAGGGCTATGGAGATGGCCCTTTAAGAAGCTACCTGAAAAGCTCCCCCTTTGCCTTTGTCAGACCCACCACTGACCAGGGCCAAGTCAATCAGCACTCCTGCGAATCCATGTATTTAAGGGGGGTGAAGGCCATGTCTCTCTCTGGCACCGGCCCTGACCAGCGCAGCCCCAGATGCGGGTGGGACGGCCCCGGCTTTGCCCAGCTGGGCTTGGCTGGCCCCGACCACAACTTAAGCTTAAGCCCCACTGCAGCTTCATCCCAAAAAAAAGAGAGAGCTGGGATCTCCATAACCATTGGAGGAGACATGCAGCGGAGAAAAGGAGAGGGGCCCAAGGAGAACAACTTTGAAGAACACCAAGGTCAGTTTGAAGAAAGAAGACGGAGGAGGAGGAGGACGCAGAACCCAGGTTTCCCCTTTGCAACCCGTGGCAAGAGCTGGGTCAACTGGTCGTGTGTGAGGAAACTGTGACCATGGGCAGACTCAGATTGGAGTTTTGTGGACTTGGGCCGAAACACTTTTGTGTGTGAGGGAAACTGCAAATGTGGGCAGATCCATAGTGGACGTTTGAGAACTTTTTCCCTGAAGGAAAGGGGGCCACGTGGAAGCAAAGAGAGAGAGACACTGGGCTGAGGTGTTCGTTTTTTTTTTTTCCCTTCCCCTGAGAAAAGCACGTGGTGGGAAGACCAACTGCAACCCCTATCCCGCTGCGCCTCAAGGCAAAGGGGGAGAGGGAAGGTGAAGGAAACGTGAACAAAAGTTGAGCCCAGGAAGAAGGGAGGGGTGAGGTGAAGGTGTTTTGTTTTTTTTTTTAATATCTGGTTGTATCTCCCATTCTTCTACTCTGATGTTAGTAACAAATTAAAATTGTTTTGGTTTTTATTCCTTATGATAAGTCTGTCTTTTGCCTGTGACCTGTTTAAGTGGTGAGAAGCCCTTCCAGTCCTTATTTTGACTAGCCCCTTTTGGGTCATCATGGTGCTCAGTTACGCACTGGGCCTAAACCACAACATAGGACCTCAAGATGAGTGAGGCAGAGGCTGAGTCTAGGACAGCTCAGCCTGCCTCTCACGGTCTGCACTCTGTCCATTGGAACGAGCCGAGTATGGAGTAACTATTACACAAAACAGGCTTCTGTGCAGCTACGTCTTTCTATGTGGATTGCAACCTTAAACATTAGAAATCAATTCAAATAATAAGTTCCTAGCCACCCAGGTTTTTTGTCTCCCAAGTAAGAGACATTTACACAGACTAAATCTATTAAAAGCAGCTCTTTTCTTCTCTGTAAGCATAATGGGATTAAAAAAACAAACAAACAAACAAAAAAACCCACACAGCTTTACCTGGGTCTAATCTCACCACCACCAGGTACAGCAGAAATGTAGCCAAGAGCATCTTTTTGTAAGGAAGTAAACAGAAGTGGCTGGACATGGACCTCAGTGCTCTACGTAGCAACGTTAACATGGTCAAGAGCTTTTGGGACAAAGCACCTAGAATACAAGAACAGAAAGGCTGTTAGGGCAAAGTAAAGTTTAAAAGTAATCACATAAATACAGATAATAAGAAACTAAGATACTAAATTTTTGTATCAAGAGTTGGGTTGAGGGTTTTTTCGTAATAGGGAGCTGAGAAACAGTATAATTTTATAATACAATTAATTATATCTTTTTGGGGGCATCTACTTTATTATAATATAATCTTATACCACAGCAGTGCCAGCTTCTCTCCTGGGAGATAATGTCAAGAGATTTACAGTTCTGGAGGAGATGCAGAACTTTAAATACCAGATGTGCATTGTTCTACATGGGTTCAACTATAAATTGAGACAAAGCAGAGAGTACACAGAGCCAACAAAATGTGCCCTTAAAGGATTGCTAGTTAGCTTTTGTTTCCCTTTTGTACCTTTATTTTTAAAAAACATTAAATCTAAAGTGCTTTTTAATCTGGAAAACAATTCTCATCTCTTGACATTGGCAAAGACTAAATACACTTTTTAACTGTTAGCTTGTAAATGGATCCCTAAGTCTTTCATTTGCTTCTGTGATACCCAGTGGGACTTTTCTGTGGTTGGTTTGTCACGAGAATATTCTTAATACCTAGCTAACACTTGCTACCCCTTGTTACTAAGGGCCTATCTAACTTGAAATAAAAAGGAGTACAAACAACAGAGGGAAAGCCTACTCAAAACAGTTTCTGTTGCTGCGCCTTCCTGCTCTCCAGCAGCCGAGTGCATCTCTTCCCGCTGAGTCCACTGACACCGGCTTTCACAGATGGTCCCAAGAAATGCTAGCTGCTGCTCGCTGTCAAAAACATCACAGCCACGTACAAGCTCTTCTGCCCCCTCAAACCGGCCAAGCGGAAGCAACACATGCAGCAGATAGAGCTCCAGCAACGAGCCGTACTCGGGGAGGCTCTTATTGGTTGGGTCTCTCAGCCAGCTGCTGCCAACCTCCAGCATCACCTGGGGCTCTCTCACTTTGCTGTATAACAGGATACTGAAATACAAGAAAGAAATATTAGAAACTGCTAACTCTTTGTAGAGGTTGAGATCACTGACAGTTACTACTCGCAAGCAGCTATCAGGAAGGCATGTATCTGGGTCTTCGCTTGAAGCACAGAGAGATTTCTGAGGCGGACAATAGGTGCAGCCACTGACATTACTTTCTCAGCAACATTCCTTTTGCACTTTGTCACCATAAAGCAAGCTGCTGGCCTGCCGGCATACTCCAGCACACACAGGTGGAGAACAGGCCTGTCCCAGGTTCTGCTTTCATCCCCACTTACACTGCACAAAGTGAAAATACCACACAACATTCAAGTCTGAGCTGCTATTAAGCTTAACGCAAGCCCGGTGTACATCTGATGCCCAGAGACAGAAACTCACCACAGCTCCAGAACCTTTGGAGGCAGATGTTCAGGGACATGGTAATACTGTAAGACCCAAGACAGAACTTCTCTCCACCGGTTCATCTCAGCCAGCGCCTGAATTCCCACAACACAAAGGGAGCATTTCACTTCTGCAGAACTAGTAATGAAAAGACACCTAAATAAGCACTTCTTACAACCACATTTCTCCATGTAACCCTTCCAGTAAGCTGCATCCTCACTTAGGTACTTAAGAGCTGCTTCCTCTCCTTTCCCTCTCCTCCTACCCCTCACCCCCTATAAAGAAAGTAAATTCAACACCCCAAGAAGATTCACAGTGCATGCACCTCTAAAAAGATGTGAGGAAGGCTCCTAGGCACACTTCGTTTCCCTCAAACATGCGCAGATCCCTTCATATGAAACATGTAAATACCGACAGGCCATTAGCAAATAGCAGCTAAAGACAAGATGGGTTTCAAACATTACCAACTTGCTTTTTAGCCACAAGCGCCACCCTGCATTGATTTAGATAAGAAAAAGTTAAGAAAACCACTGCAAGGACTACCGGTGCTAGTAGCTATTCATATAAATAATACTTATATGTGAACCTAAGAGGTCCCTAAATCCTCGCAAAAAAACCCCACCCTGGTTTATTAAACCTAAAAAGTCCTCTATTAAAAAAAATAAAGCTACAAACAGGGCAGACACGGCCTGCAATTAAAAGCCGCCCCGTCCCCACTCCACCGGCCCGACGCCCGCTCGCACCTCTCAGGGCCGGGGCTGGGGCCGGTCCCGGGGCCC